GCCATACCTTCGACGCCGGTCCTTGACTACGAGAGAGATACAGACCCGTTCAGTACGGGGTGGCCTCCACGACCGTTAACGACACGTTGGAGAGCGCGCCGACCACGCCGCCATCGACGACCACGACGAGCAAGAGGAGGGCGAGGACAACTGTCGCGGGGTTGCTCCGTCGGTCCTCCTCGATCCATCGATCCTTCGATCGAACAACTTCGAAATATTGTTCGCGCCAATATTTTTACTCCCCCTTTCTTTTCCCCTCCTCCGACGAGGCGCGCGCGAGTCAGAGTGATTCATCTCGACGAATGTTGCGGGAAACGGTTTGAAAACGTGTGGAAAAGGTGGTGGGATAGGAAATTTTCGGACTGGATTTCTTCTCGTCGTCAAACGCGCAAACAGTAAAGCGGGTAAGTAAAGGTTACTCTTTCTCTCTTTTTCTCACTATTCTCTCTCTCTCTTTCTTTCCTTCTTTTCTGTTTTCTTTCAAATCATTCGATGGCTTGTTTGAAGAATGAGGTTTCTATAGACTCTTCACTCTCCTTTGCTGGTGGTCCTCGAAACCTAGGTGGAATTGTTCTTCGTGTACGCGCGAGTACAAGTCTCAGTTTGTTGTTTCGGTTGATAATAAACAAGCTTTAGTGTTCGTGGGAATGAGAAAGATAGGGGAGGGAATGTATATCTGTTCATGCAAGGGGAAAACAGTTTTCGATTGCCCGATTTTTGTCAACGGTTACGTAAGAAGCGCTCCTATATACACGCGGGGACGTATATTAGAGAACGTTGTCGTTTCGATCGATGAAATTAATTCGAAATAAAATCGAAATCGTCGTTGGGCTTGCATTATAATATTTGCATATCCATCTTTCAATTTATCACCTCTATAACGAGTAATCAAAATACGATGCTTCCTCGTAACCATAATTTCGATGAAAAATTAAAAAAAGAGATACAAAAAGGAGATACATCCTCCAAGAGATTCATTCATAATGATTTTTCTCCAAGAAAAGCATACACACATACACACACGCGTTCCATGGAAGGATCCATCAGCTCGATCTATTTCAGGTGAAAGACCGTACTGATCGGTGCTGGTGGCAGCAATAAGCGAGGGGAAATATCGAGGAGGAAGGAAAAGCAGCAGAAGGGAAGCAGCAAGTTTGGTGAGTTGGGTGAAAATCGATGGCCATCAGCGCCCATGGGCGGCCTCGCGTTTAGAACAAGGAATAGCCCCTCCCAGAAGACCTCGCTACGGTGGGGTGACTGCTGCCCCCCAAATCCCAACCCTCCGTCGTCGTCGGCCGTCTGGAAGGACCGTCATCAGGACATGCCTCCGGTACCTGTGTGAGGCTGTCCCCCACTACTTCGTGATTGTACCCCGCGGGGTCTTCAGAGGTACTGTTCGTTCATTCTTGTAAACCGATCCAAGCACGGAACACACTTGTTTCTTTCCCTTCTTTTTTTCTTTTCTTTCCTTTCTTCTCTCTCTCTCTCTCTCTCTCTCTCTCTCTTTGCTCCTCTATACGACGATTCTATAATTACGCATGTCTCGTTGCTATAAGCTTCACTTGTTGTTACGTGGCTGATTCCCCGACGGCTTTCGACCCCCTTTTCGTGTACAAAGGAATTTGTAGGAGATCTTGAATGAATCGATCGAATGTATATCTAGAGAGAGATGGAATTGGATTAATATTTCGATCTAGATTTTTTTTTTTGTGTTTTCGTGGAAAATGTGGGCAGAGAGGGATTCAATTTGGAATAGATTTAATGTAGTAATGGACGTCGATAAATAGGCATAATTTGTGGAACGAGATCGGTTATTTTTTTGTAGAATTTAAAGAGAAAAATGGACTCGGATGAAATGTAATTTATTCAGTCTTTTGTGAAATTTAAAGGTTGAAGAGATATTTCCAATCTTGATAGTTTTGATTGTTAATTTTCTTGGAAATGTAGAATAATGTATTTAAGACAAATTTCCTTTATCGACGAACGATCTTCTTATTAATTCTGTTAATGAAGGTTTCTATTTTAAAAGTAATTAAACGATTGGGGATAATGAAATTTTATGTACTATTAAATTAAATGAGGGTTTTAAAGATGAAAATCCTACTGACTATTTTTTTTCTTTTTTTAATTAGCAGTTTCATTTATTTTTTCCTTTAAATAAATTTCTCTGCAAATATTTTATTTCGAATGAAATATTCAATCTATATTATAAATATTTTTATTATCACAGACTTGTGGGATATTCTTAAAAGATCGATTCTAGAGACTAAAAACAAACACAAAAGTTTCTACATAAAAATAGATGATTAAAGTTTATTTATTATAAAGTTACGAGTAATTGAAGTTTAGAATGAGATAACTCTATCTCTCTCTCACTTTGTCTAATATAAATTTCAATATATATATAATTATTTCAATTTTTATATTTTGATCTTTAGGATTAAACCTTTCCTAAATATTTTAACACTCTGTATAAAATCTCTCAATTCGAATTATGGAGATACTTTCTTAATGTAGACTAACAATGATCCCAACAAAGAGCTTAATTCCTTTAATTCCAATCGATTATTATCTTTTAAGATAGCATAGGCATTTTAAATTAATGATTCATTTCCATTAATTAAATTATAATGCAAACGATCCAGCTCAATATATTAATTTCGTTGCATCTATAGGCGAGTCCTTGAACGTTTTTTTTTTTATTTATGTTATCATGCTTTTTTACGTTAGCAAGCTTCGAGTATTTTTTTCTTTTTCCTTTTTTTTTTTTTTTTTTTTTTTTTTTTTTTT